ATACCCTCTTCTTCTTCAACTGAGATCCAGCTACTACTGACCCCTAGCTAGCTTATGTGTTTTCTTAGGGCAAGGATGAAAGAGAGTAGAGAGACGAGGCAGAGGAAGTAGCTGAATATACAGGTCAGAGAAGTCTGGAGAAGTGAGTCCAAGGGAGATTTTCAAACAGGAAGGATATATGGAATTGCAGAAATGTACAGAAAGGTGGCTAGGGAAGTCAGTGGAGATGGACAGAGTATGGAGCCATGGTTAGGAAGGTTGTGAATGTGAAAGAGGATGAAGATAATATGCTCCTAATGTCTAGGAAAAGAGTCATTTGGATTCAGTGTCCAGGGCCAGATTTTGAAACCCTTTTCCCCTCATTGTTACAGCATTGAAGCCAATGAGCCTATTTCCATGAACCTGTACCTGTCATTGGGAGTGAATGTTCCAAAATCACTTCCTCAGTGCTTTGGTTTTGTTCTGTACATAACGTTCACGGAGCAGGTGCATCGATCCACCATTTGTTGTTTGTTTCTAATTTCAGAGGGATTAAAGATCAACTCTCCCTGTGAAATCCTCAGTCAATGAGACTCTTTTACCAAGTGAGCTATGGGGTCTCAGAATTGTCATGTATTTTTTCCTCTGTGGTACAGCGTGGCTAGGCAACATTTCATGTTGACTATTCAACTTGCAAAGGCTGAATCACGTAAACATGTCTGGGATCTCCAGTGGAGTTCAGAGGGGAGTAGCTATCAATTCCAGGAAGGTGGTTTTCCAAATTGAGTTTGTGAAAAGTGTGGATATTCTTTATTTCAATTATGGACCCCGCAGAACTTTCCAAAACTATGCTGATTATTACCAATTGTAGAGTAAAATACAATTATTTGGCTCTCCATGCAGTACTAAGAGAACTCTCCAGGTATGCATCAAGGTACCTGGAACAGCCACCACAGGGAGTCGAGGAGCTGGACATTACCAGAGAAACTGCAGCTGCCAAAGCCTATGTGACCTTCCTGGTGCTCTTCAACAAATGGTTCCCAACTGCAAAGGGAAAGGTGAGAAGAGGAAATCCTGGGCACTGAGTGTTTTTAGTATATGTGTAGAATTTGGAAGGTGAATGTGTACAGGTGGAAGGAGTCTGAACGCCAGCGCTATAGGTTGAATTGTCTATTTATCTACAGAACAGCTATAGCTTGGGTGACAGCAGGACAAGCTTCCTTCACGTCTCTCTCTGCCTCTGAAAATGTGGTCTCATTTTTGATGTGGAGGAATCCACCATGGGAGGAGAAAAACAGGGTGTGAAGTGAGTGAGGATGGGCTAGGGCACCCTTCTGTTTCTAAAGGCTTCCTGATTTTCTGCAGGAACTGAGCATTAACTTTTTGACATTGCGTTTCTTGTCCTAATGGTAGTGAAGATCCAAACATGAAGCAACATGTGAGTTGTCAGACAGACAGCTTAAAACAATACCTCTGTGAGGTTTTAGCTGTCCTTTTTAATCTTATCTGGGCATTCTCACTGAAGCCTAATCATGCCAGTTCAAATGTCAACATTGTTAACCATTTCAAGATTGATAATTTTAGCAGAAACATTCATCTGACATGCTTATCAAGTGTAGTTGGACTATAGGTGACGCAGGTAGGTTTGATTGACATTTTCCTTTATAAGACAGCTTTTCAGTTGCTTATAACTTTGCCAAACTTCAGCTATTTAGGCTGAAATTTGCCATGCCAGGAATCTGAACTTTTCTTTGAGATGGGGTCAGAGCAGGAATTTCAGCAAAAATGGTTCAGCTGTTTCTCAAAACAAGTTTAGGGAAAATACATTTTTCCTATGTTAAAAAAATAATATTGTTTCACTGAAAAGCTCTAGAGCATCTTTGATTTGGAGCTAGGGGGTTGAAATTTGCGGGGGCGGGGGGAGGAGGTCAATCTGCTCGCAGAGCTGTGCCTTTTCCCGTTCCTGTGAAAATTTACCCAAATTCGGCCAAGTTCCAAGCCTGTGAAAGACTCAGTGAATGAAGCAGGGGTCCTTTAGAAAAAATCCTGGGGTGCTGTGATTGTCATTAAAGACTGTATACTGAGTGCATACATACAAGAAAGTAGAATTAGGGTTGCACACGCTACCTTAATACTGGAATTTCCTAATTTTTTAGTGTTTTGATTTGCAACCCTAACCTTCTTTTGTCATAAATAGAAGTTAAAGTTGGAAAAGACCTGTTATGTCATTTTATCTATCCCTGGTACCAATGCCAAGTTGTTCTCTACGCTGCCATCTCCCATGGTTTGTCTAATGTGAAATAATTTAAGCAATGGGAATTCTGTCACTTCTGTTGGACTGTTCCACATCCTGATAGCTTTCCACACTAGGAAGTTATTTAATAATTGTATTACTCCTAACTGCATCCTAGGCTCTAAGTTAGTCTGAGGGAAGGGATAAAGGGAACAACAGACATCATGAAGAGGAACAGGCACGGACAGAACAAAAGAGACCTGGGCAGAGGGATATGACGAGTTCTCATCACACTTTTCCTATTTTAGCTCTTGGAGGAAAGTGAATTTACAAAGCACAGTAAACTGGGCAATGTTGCAAATACCAGTGAGAACACAAAAATAATCAAAAGGACCCAAAGAAGCTAAAAATACAGGTAGCAAATTTCACTATCACAGTCAACCTGGGAAAATGCAGGCTAATACACATTGTGGGGGAGGCAGGAGGGTCAAATAATCTGAAATGCTGATATTCAGTGAAGAAGGAATGTTAAAACAAATTTCAGGGTGACAATGAGTAAAACTAGCTGAAAATTTTACTGTATAAAACAGCAGTTATAAGTCAATGTGACTTGACATTGAATACACGGAAGCATCCTATCACAGACCTCAGAAGTGAGAGACCTTCTCTAGAAAATTTTGGTGAGATATCACTGTTAAAACTGTAGATATTTCCAGGAACCTCTACGCTGCCAATACATGGACATGTTGGTAATTATACTCAATCTTGCATGGCAAATGTTTATTCCTTGCCTTTTCTTCCTCCTGTGTAGGTGATGGAAGCCACGCTGGATGTAATTGGTCAGCTGTTTTTCATCATGTCTATTCAAACACTGAAAAATCATCTTCAATGTTTGATCACAGAACTCCTGAATCAGTATGGGACCAGGATACAACATTTTTATGTCACAGAGGTGAGCAATCCAAGCGTATGTCTGTGATTAGTGACTAGAGGAGTTAGATTGCTCTTCATTACCACAGAACCACTGCTTCCATGTTGTGAGGAGATACTGATTCCAAGCCTAGGCTATGTCTGAAAGGAGCTGGGCAGGGACACATATCTACAGTAAGGAATAGATGAGGAACTGGTTAGATATTTTTCAGAAAACCAGAAGAAAACCTGAGAATAGGATACAACTAGTTGAACCACTGACCTGATCTCAAATGATGGCAGGTGACAGATTCAGAGGCCTATGGAATGAAGCATATGGTCAGGGGTAGGCAACCTATGGCACGCGTGCCAAAGGCGGCACGCGAGCTGATTTTCAGTGGCACTCACACTGCCCGGGTCCTGGCCACCGGTCTGGGGGGGGCTTTGTATTTTAATTTAATTTTAAATGAAACTTCTTAAACATTTTAAAAACCTTATTTACTTTACATACAATAGTTTAGTTATAAATTATAGACTTATAGAAAGAGCGGTTCAGC